ATGATACTCCAGTGTTAAGGAAGCCAACGAGCGAGCACTCCCCGCCATCCGTTCACACATCAAAGAGTTGTGAATTGTTGCCAACGTTTTCCTCTGCAGCCCTGAGCTAATTTCCCTTCAGCAGGCTACGGAGGGTGCGGCTGCTCCGGGCGGTTCGGACGAGCATCTGCCACATCACCCAGCAGCCAGGCCCACCTCCTGTTGTACACGGTGCCCAGGTGCCCGCCCACATCCTCCTCCTCGACCGCTGCACCTCCCTCGATGGCTGGCCAGGCAGCCCCTCACCCTTCTCCGGGGCGCAGACTGGTCCTGTCGGTGGCTTTCAAACACACGGCAGGAAAAATGCAGGATCTGCCTCTCTCCAGCTGATGCTCAGGTGCTGCCCTCTCCAGGGCACGCTTCAGCCTCCTTCCATGCTCCCCCCTCCCCTCAAGCAGGGGCGTCTGCAGGGAGCTTCAATCACGTGGTTGTGGCCCCATCTTGATTTTTTTTGACTGCCCATCTCTGCGGACACCCACCCCCCGGATTCCAGCATTCCTCAGGCCGCTCCCAGTTTTCACTTGAAGCCCCCTTGGAAAGAGGCAGCCTCGTCCCCATCACAAACCCTCCACTTTCCATCTGCCAGAATCAGGGAGAATCTTGCCCTGCGGCCCCCCCCTCAAATCACTGCGCTTCCAGAAACAGCCGCCTCTAGTATTTAAGGTACAAGACTGGGTTATCGTTGAGTCTAAGAAGGGGAAGCAGCAGCATGGGCCAAGGGTTTCCCAATCCTGTAGGCACAGAAAATAAGGCGTTAAAGCTATTTCTCATACGCCCTTCCTCCCCTGAAGTGGGCCTTTAAAAAAGACGACGATAGCAAAGCAAGAAACCCCTGTATCTTTTATTGTTAACATAATTAAAGCTGAACTGAGAGAAAGAGACAGGAAAACATCACATCAGCTCAGATTTTTACAATATAAGAGGATCAGAAAAAATTGCTACAGTTCGTGGCTGTTTTTTGGAGACGGGATGATGCTGGAGATACGCAGGGGATCCTGCAGAAGAGGAGACCCTCGCAACGCAGCTTGAATGGGTCCAAATGCCCAGCGCGCATTCCCACTGCTGGAGACGCCGCATTGTCTAATGGGGGAAGACAGAGCCATGGCAAAAAACGCGCCTAGCAGGACACAGAACGGACGCCTGAAGACACGATGGCCAAATCCATGTCTCTGCAATGTATGTTTCCCATCCCGTCACCATCTCTGGACAAATTGGTTAAAGCAGTGTTTCTCAACCTTGGCCATTTTAAGATATGTGGCCTTCAACTCCCAGAGTTCTCCAGCTAGCATTGGGTGGGGAATTCTGGGAATTGAAGTCCACCCCTCTTAAAGTTGCCGGGGTTGAGAAACACTGGGATAAAGGGTTGGGTTGTTGTTTTTTGGAAGGGCCACAAAAACTTGCCTGCAGCTCATAGGACAGAGACGGTGCTGGCTCTGGGAGGACTGGGCCCGACTCAACTCCTGGAAGGCCTGTGGCAGCTCCATGTGGGCTTCAACAAGTTCTAAGAAACTATTTCTTCTCCAAATTAAAACCCTGCCTGAGACATCTGACATGCCTACGGTTCAAACATAGCAGGAAAATTCCTTTTGTACCATCGCTCTTCATCTTCTTCCCCAGGAAGTTATTTCCTCTCCTTCGTTAAAAAGAAAACCTACCCAGGAGAACGTCCCAGTTGACTCAGTGATACATGTCAATAACTTTTACAACCAACTGGTACTGTTTGGCCTTTGACAAGCTGCTACTGCAAGAGGTTGCAACTGTGGAACTGTTAAACCATCCAGACCACACTTGGGCCAGATCATTCCTTCTGGGGCACCGGGGAGATCAATTCCACTGATGCAAGGAGGACTTTCAAGCAAACCATTGCTTGGAACACCCCCACCTGCCTCCATAAAAGTCTTCAGCAATCTGACACCAACCCCAACTTGATGCCTTCCAGATGTGTTGGCCTACAAGCTTCCATTGTTCCCAGCTGGAGTTAGCCAGAGGCCTGATGACAGGAAACAAGTGGAGTCCAACACATTGAGAGAACACCAAGTTGGTTCTGCTTTGGAGCACGACCTGCCTCCAACCAAGCCTTAATCGAGAAAAAATGGATTCTCTGTAGAGCAGTGTTCCTCAACCTTAGCAACTTTAAGATGAGTGGACTTCAATGCCCAGAAT